AGTGCCAATATGTTTTATATAAATAGCAGGTCACCTGCATCCGCCCAGAGAATATGGGTTATACAATTATTTTTGACAATTTCAACTTGTCAACACATTTGGCTAAAAGCTACTAAATGATAATAATATAATAAGCCATTTCGCAGACGCTTTTATCCAAAGCGACTTACAGTCATGCGTGCATAAATTTTTGTGTATGGGTGGTCCCGGGGATCGAACCCACTACCTTGGCGTTACAAGCGCCGTGCTCTACCAGCTGAGCTACAGAGATAACACTATTAGGCTACACGTCTCAAAATGCATTATAGATTAATCATATGATGTGTTGTTGCATAATGCATTATACCATGTGGACCTAATGTAAAGTGTCACCAAAGTATTTGGTAAAACATAGCTGGTGAAATTAATTGCTAATCGGCAAAACAATAGGCCTAGACCTGCTCCATAACATATATGGTGTTTCCTCTATCGATATTTCGTCTGTCAAATGGGCTTGAAGACGTGGAGTATGGCCTATGTTCAATTATTTTATTCTCCACTTAAGCCATTTAATCCGCAGCACATTTCTTATTTTATCGGAAGGTTATCTGCGTCATTTGGCTATTTCTTGTGCAACGTGCACCTGGGATGATTGTCTATGCATCAGGCGCCGCAGGTGGATTTTGCATTAACAACTGGACATCCGTAACCAAAGCCAAGAGACATGTCAATCCAGGATGAGGATAAGATAGAAAGAAATAGGCGGTCAGAATTAATTTGGACCTCAAATGTGTGTGTGTGTGCGTGTTTGAGCGAGAGAGAGAGCAAGAGCGAGAGAGAGAGCGAGAGAGAGAGCATGAATTTGAGTTTAGTTTAGTTTATTAATTCGACCATTTAAAAAAAACAAGCACACATAAAACTTGAAAAGCCATACATGCACATGAGTAAAATCATTGAGGATAACACACAATAAAGTCTGGGACGTATTTCCATTGTGGTCCTCTTGAAACAAGATGGCTGGGCAAGATCCAACACGGTTGAACACAGTATGACAACGAGATAATAAAACAAAAAACAAAGAAGAAGAACATCTATCTCATCATAGGGGTCATTCATATGGGCACAGAAGACATCAAACAGTTTTTTACTGTATTTTTAAAGCTGCCCAGAGAGGACGTCGTTTTTATGGGAAGAGGCAACTCATTCCACTCTGAGGCTCCAGTATACGAGAAAGTACCTTTCCCAGCATTACTCCTGAACCTGTATAAGCACACATTAGCAACACCTGATCTGGTGCTGTGATTGTGTGCATCCCTAACACGGGGAAAGTAATCAGTTAGATATCTGGGCGCAGAACCATAAATACTCCTGTAAACCAAACCCAGTCTAATCTGCGACACCGTTGAGTTCCTGAAAGCAGCTCCTGCCTGTGTGAGTACGTGGACTCACCTTCAATACTAGCCTAAATAATATGACTAAAGAATAATGTGTTCAGAATAATTTGCTGTTATGTTTTCTCAATTGCCACTATCTTGATTATAAGCAAAAAACTATACTAACTCGACTTTCCTATTATTACATTTAAGTGATTTAGCAGACCCTTTTATCCAGAGCGACTGGATACAAGTACATTCATCTTAAGGTAGCTGCATGACAACAATAACAGTCATAGGCTATTATTGCTTGTAATACTGAACATGTGGACTGCTGTTACAGCAGAAGTCCAGAGCTGTAGCCTATTTAAAGACCAAGACATTGATTGCATAGTATAATAAAAAGCTATCACGTTTCGCAATAAGTGAACACACTGATGCTATGTGTTCCAAATGAAAATAATAATTGCGGTGACAGTCAGGTTTTTAAATGTTATTAAAATCCGACATCACTGATATAGAGTCCTAAATTAACGAAATAATATACATAAATATGAATTTATTAACCAATAATATGCTAACTGTAGGCTACATTGTAAAACTACAACAGCATACAAATGTTGCCAATATAGAGACCATGTAACACAACGTTTCAAATGTGATTTTAGGTCTGCAACAAAAATAGCCTATAGGCCTATTGAAATATAACTTTTGAACGAGTAATAAAAACGTTAATTTATGCCCATATGATTTAATTCAAGTAAATTAATACTCTTAAATTTGTGTAATAAACTAAGCTAAGTAATAACTTCAGATAAAACATGCAACAACGATTGGCACTATATCGCTCCATGCATAGGGTAGCCTACTAGGCTTATAATCAAAGTAAACAAATCCTATTTTCGACAACAGAAAATGTTAGTGGTAGCCAAAGCAATTGTAAAAAAATATAGCGTCAGTAATGTCTTGGTTATAGGCGTATTATTGATATATTATATTAAACTCGTTGGGCATGGCACAGCTGGATAAAAAAAAGCAATATGTGAGGAAAGGAGAGAAATTGATTTATTCGAGTAATTACAACCAGATCTCGAACGAAGCAGGCAGTACACTCTAAAAAAAAAGACTGCAAGCCTGCCTATATGTGCATTGGTGCGGTTCAGAATGGCTCATGGTTGATTTAGCGATGTAAACCCGACTAGATGTAGTCTACGGTGTTGACTCATTCCCCTATGGCTAGTCCATTATGTTTAGCTGTATGATGAGTGCATATTCTACATCTATCGCCAGACAAAACAGTGACGTTCGTCCACAGTTTCCTCCAGGTTGAGCTCTGTCTGGGTCAGAGGTGAGCGTTTCACACAAAACCTACTTTCTCTACGGTCCCGTGTGTGTTTCTTTCAAGAATGTCCAATAAGAAAGTCGGCCTCGATGTCTTGCTACCCAATAAGAACGCCAGTGGCAGTGGGCTGGTCCTGAGCAGCTCGAGAGCGAGATTGAGATAGTTTGGAGACGAGGTCTGGACACGAATTCCACTCCTCTCGCGTCCCTAATTTAGAGAAGTGTATGCAGTGAGGGGTCTGCGCGCCTTTCCAGGTGGAATTCCGATAGGAGCTGGGACTAAACTAACTGGCTCGAGTGGTGAACTCGGTTCAGGACAGGTGAAATCCCCTGCGGGCATCGCGAGCGTAGTGAAGGTTATGAGATCTTTTCATTCTCTGAGGTAAGTAGAAAAAATCGACGAAATTTAGGCTATATATATCCACATGCTATAGGCTTGGTCATTGTAGTAGTATTATCATTCGTTTGTTTATGGTTTATTATGATCGATTATTTGTTATCGATTATTGTTATTATTAGGCTATTATTATTATGATTATTATTTGTATGTGTTATTATATTATTATTATTAAACTATAGATTGTAAAAAGTAGGCAAATTAGTTCAGCTAACAATTTTTTTGGGTGGGAACCCGTTGCCTACAACCATTCGAGTAACCCAACTCAAAGTATGTCGGTGCTTAAAGTAATAAAGTGACATCAGCACCCATATAGTTATCTTTTTAAGTTGTAAATACTTAACGGTTTTGGGTTTTATTAACTTTTTGACACTAAATTGCATTATGTTTTCTGAACTAAGATGATTGAAGTTACTTGAAAATTAATATTTGTTGTAGTGAACAGAAAAATTAAGGGTCCCTTCTACTTAAATGTTTAACCTTCATTCCATTTTCCCCCCCAAGTGTAAGTAGTAAGTAGTTCTGATTAGTCATATCAGTGGTCGTGTCTTAATGTTTAACATTGTTTTATATATTTGACAATTTGTCATTTTAACCCACCTCATAAGGCATTGTTGAGCACAGTGCTCACTCCTCTAAAACTGTAGGTAGAGCTGTAAGCATTACATATTGTACATTTTAGTGATTTAGCAGACGCTCTTATCCAGAGCGACTTACAGTTAGTGAGTACATACATTTTCATACTTTTTCATACTGGCCCCCCGTGGGAACAGAATGCTGCATTAGCCTCTGTCATTAAGAGTGGTGCACATGACCTTGTTGATGGTGGGAATGGATTGTCTCATTATTGAACGTAAATTTGCCTGACTGTTTTGATCAATAAAGTTCATAAAGTCTAAAAATGTTGAATTACCCACAATAATAGAGCCATGTGGCACTATTAAGTATTCATAACTTAATCATTCTATATCAGCACAACACATATAAATCAAGTGTATGACTACTACTTTATTATGTTAAGTAAAGACGTAAAACATAATAGAATCAAGTAACAACTTATTTAATACATGTTAGATATACTTTAAAATATTAAGTAATCATAACTTGTAAAAACTCAATTTTAGATTAGCAGAACACAAATAAATAAAGTTTTATTTACTCAATAACCACCTTTTTGTTAACAGTACTCAAAACATTATTACGTGATAAGAGATCTTATTGCCCTCTGAGTTAGTACCACTTTAATGATTTGAGTTCTACTGACCATTGGAGATGATTGAGTAGCCACAACTCAATTTATGTAATGAGTTAGTCAGTTACTTTTTACAGTGTATGAGCAAACAACCACATTAAAGCCATAATAAAGCCACATTGTCACATGCATGACGCATAATTAAATCCATATATTAATTTGACCATGATAGCCTACACGTTTTTGTTTGAAACTAAAGGTATGCGTTTAGGGATGAAAATGTATTTTTACTTGTTGATTAACAAGATATTGGTAGGCCTATAATGATATTATGGCGTGTGTTATGCCCTTTGTTTTTCAGGGCATGGAGGAATGCCAGTCTTGGCAGTTTACACCGTGGACAGGCCCCTTCCCATTCTAAGTGAGAATTAATGGCGTGTGCGTTCAAGAAATTCTCCATTTACAAAAGACTAACACGGGATATCAAATTATCCATTCGGCGCTTGGTTCGGTGAAGGAATTCGGGAATTTTCTGAAGTGTATTGGATTCAGTTTGTAACTGAGAAGTGTCGCATGTTTTAGTTGAAAAATAAAAGCCAAAACCATGACAAATAAACAAAACGGAAATCTGTAATCGTTTTTTGATGGACCGATATGTGAGTAAAGGAATGATATAGCCTAACATTTAACAAAAGGAGGGCGAGAGAGAGAACACACAATGAAGGAGAAATCCAAAACTGCCGCAAGGACTAGACGGGAAAAGGAGAACAGCGAATTTTATGAACTGGCCAAAATGTTGCCTTTACCCTCGGCTATTACGTCGCAGCTGGACAAAGCGTCTATAATACGACTGACAACAAGTTATCTGAAGATGCGAATTGTCTTTCCTCAGGGTATGTATATCTTCAGATTCAACAATTCACACTTCTTTTATATGCAATTTGCCATTCATAGGCTAGGCTATAGGCCTATATGTATTTGTATTTATCTGTAGCCTTTCTCTTATCTGGATGTTTTGTTTTGTTTTCATTTATTCACCTGCATTGGCCTACATATTAAGGTATTCTAATTGTATAGCCTAATATGTTTACTATGCATATGCCTATGTACATTAACATAGCGTTATAGCCTATTACAGCTGATAATAAGATTGTGTGATGATAATACCATAATTCTATTGCTATGACACCTGGTAGCTGCTGCCTTAATTGACTGTTGCAGTCATTGCTGATGTTGTTATCTTATTAGCCTGTCCCTTGTCTTTTGAGCTATAGTTATTGCTACAATATCGCTATAGTATGGGCTAGAGTGTAATTTCATACGTGCGTGTGTGTGCGGTGTGCGGTCGCGTGCGGATGATCATCGTGCATCCCTGTCTCGGCGCGCATACATTTATGCCATTTTCAGGGTCAGGGGATCGAAAGGCGTATGTAAGGAAGGCGATTAGCCACAATCTTCCCCCGGTTTCAACAGGCTGCTTTACTGCGTGACTGAGAACAAGCCGCATCAATTATATAAAATGCCCAGCGTGCCACTAGCCGACCTCAGGCGCGAAACAGAGCCCTGTGATTGAGCTGGAGTAATTGATCCACTCAAGCCGCTTTAGCTTTTTCCGGATAAAGAAGGGAATATATGAATTCTGGAAAATTGCTAAAGATATAGGGTGTGGTAAATAATATTTTTACACGTAGCCTATAGGCTACACGTGGATCTATTGGCTATTTAGGCCTACACTGCAGGTTTGATCTTAACCATAACGTTTCTCACTTTTGGGTTTAGGTAAACTCATGACAAATGCAAGGAATTACGATTTTTCAATAAGTAGGGCTATAGCTTAGGCCTATTGCGTCAGCCATATCATGATGTGACAGCTGTTATGACAGTGTTATGGTAGCTCACCAAAACTGAACGGACACATGGAAATGTTTTCACTTCACGTAAACAATCACAGGTGCACGTTGCAAGAAATCACAAGGTAGGCTACTTAGACGTGATGATAAACAGTAGCAGATATGACTGATTTTTTAAAAATTGTTAACTATGCCAGCAGTTTAACTTGTGAATAGCACTTTTTATAATGCCAATACATTTTATGACATATAGCCTAGGCTACTGATACAAAAACAAACGCCATAATTTGGAATGCTTTCTCTGGGCTATTGTAAACAATATGAACGTTTGTGTTTGCATTAACCTATAGGCTACATCAGCCGTTATGTTGTATAAATCACTGATTCTTGCTCATTAGAATAATCAATAATAGGTTACATTTTGATTGTGCCCAAGTAGGCCTAATTGTGCAAATCATAATCAATTATTGTGCATATCATCTATATCAGACACATGCCATTGAAATGGCCGAATTTAGCCTATAGCCTATTTGATCGCCATTTGTGACTATATTTGATCACCATTACGAAAATATTTTTTTCTGCAGTTTGATCGAAGTTATCAATTGCTTGGAAAAATTATTTCGCACTAGGATTTGCATCAATGGGCTATAGGCGTTTTAAAAATGCCTGCATTGAAATCAAGATGTTTTGGTATTGACACTAGGCGTCCATTATGAAAAAATACAATATGCCTTAATAAAAAAGTCTAACATTCGTCTAAAACAAAAGAGAGCCCTAAACCGTTGTCGGCTCAAACTAATAGTCAATAGTCAACAGAGGCAATGGCCTGTTTGTGTAGGCCTACTTGCAGCCACTGTTGGGCAAATGTGTTAACAATTTGTAATGGGTTAGGCTATTGTCACTGGAAAAACAGTCCAAGCACAGCCTGTCTGAAACCTAGTAAACATCTGAAAAATACCATAGAGCAGAGACGTTAAGTTTCTCTGCTCACATCGCCTATAGGCTATTTGCTTGGGGCACTTGACGTCCGAACTTCAAACGCCGGGTGCATATATTCTTTGCCTATTATATTACAAGACATGTAGACCTGATGATGCTCATTGAATCCGGCTTCGCTTCTTGAATACATCAGACAAATTAGTTTAAACTGCACTTACTGTGACCCCAGTGGTAGGTGAGTTGAAGTGTGAGCAAAGTACAGCTCGAGCCATGATTGCAGCTGCTAGTTGAATATGGCGCGCGTTTTGTCATTTAGCAGACGCTCTTATCCAGAGCGACTTACAGGAGCAATTAGGGTTAAGTGCCTTGCTCAAGGGCACATCGACAGATTTTTCACCTAGTCGGCTCGGGGATTAGAACCAGCGACCTTTCGGTCACTGGCACAACGCTCTTACCCACTAAGCTACCTGCCGCCCCGTCTCTCAGGAAAGACAGCCAGACAGTCCTACACAACAACATACAATATCTTATATAATCCTATGTAGATTTATGTGAAAACATAAGCATACAATATTAATATTACATGTCAATGTTTCAAAAGTTGATAACATGGAATTAATCACAATCGATTTACCATTGATGTTTGCAGTCATTGTCAATGTGCATTTTCGAATATGTGTCTACGCAGCATGCCTACTTTCGATTGGTCATGTATGGAACTGAAATTAACAGTAAATTGCCAAATTCTAAAAAGAGAAGTTCTTGCAAAAAGTATTGTAATTGCGAAAATATCAAATATATATTGTGTAATATAAAAAGGAAATACATATGATAGGTTATACTCTCCTTGTCCATTAGTCTACTATGCATGACTGCGTCAAGCTCAATGTAAACCAACGCTGCATGTTGTTGTCAGAGGATGAGGCTACTTTGCATGCTTGCAGAGCGTAAAATCATTTGACTACTAAACAAATATGGAGATGAACAGTGCAAGAAGCTATTTCAAATGTTGACCAAATATTTGGTGTATTTTTGTTGAGCTATGTAAACGCAAATTAATCGTTTGGACAATATTGAAATGTGAAATGGTGGTGGAATATTCGAGTTTTTACTCAGACCCTGATTGATTTTGTAGGCTATGATTAGCAGTTTTTTTCTATAGAAGAGCCGCTTCGAGTTATATTGGTTCCCTCGAGGTTGTCATGTTCAATGGATTTGTAGTTTTGATATTAGGCTATTTGCTTAATTTCGATCCATTTTTGCCGCATTTTCTTCATCTTACTTTTAACCTTTTTTGACACAAATAGCTATGTATTATTATTATTAATAATATTATTGAATATATAGAGCAAACAGCCACAATAAAAGCCGTAATAAAGATGCATTTTCACATGGGTTATGTGTATTATTGCACGACTACGGTTTACCTAGAAAAAACGCTTTGTTGGCGTGGCGCTTTGTTTCAGGTTTGGGTGAGGCTTGGGGTCACACGAGTCGAACGAGATCTTTGGACAATGTAGGACGTGAGCTGGGATCCCACCTTCTCCAGGTAATTTGGAAAGCTTAGCCTGTTAATTTATTGGCACAATCACTGCAAAATATAATTATTTAAATAGCCTACGAATAATTAAAATAATAATTCTTAAGATGTAGACATGTTACATTTGAGTTGATTTGATAGGCGGGACCACACATACTGCAGGTAATGTAGAAATCTTAGGCTACTAATATAATTTTAGAAAATCACAGAAAATTATGTAAAATATTATATTACTAAAAATGAAAATAATAATTCTTAAGATGTAGACATGTTACATTTGAGTTTATTTGATAGGTGGGACCCCACATACTGCAGGAAATTTAGAAAGCTTAGGCTACTAATAGAATTTTGGAAAATCACAGAAAATTATGTAAAATATGATATTACTAAAAATGAAAATAATAATTCTTAAACTTTATAGGCCTACCTAGCCATGTTATACTATATTTGGTATTTGAAATAAAATGCGGTGAGTGCTTTTGAATTAATATTCCGTTGATCTGTGCATTAATTCATGCATTTTTTCTCCAGACACTGGATGGCTTCATCTTTGTTGTGGCGCCAGATGGAAAGATCATGTACATCTCCGAGACAGCATCAGTCCATTTGGGACTCTCTCAGGTCTGCACCTGGTCGCATTCATCACCATTTATTTAGTGTTTTGGTTTTTTCAAGTTTTAGTGAGTGGAGTCTTTTAGGCTAGTGTTTTAGCCTATACCATAAGCCGTAAGAGCGCGCGATAGGCATGTTAAAAACGTTATTCGTGTGAGATAATATGGAATCATGTTTGAATTGTTTGAGCGATTAATACCATTTAATTACCGAGGTAATTCTTAACAGGTAGAGCTGACCGGGAACAGTATTTACGAATATGTTCACCCAGCTGACCACGACGAAATGACTGCAGTCCTGACACCACATCAGCCGTACCACTCGCATTTCGTCCAAGGTAGGCTAGGCCTATATAAATATAGTAGGCCCAATTCGGAGAGAATGAAACCACATATCGATTGAATTTTTGTACGTTGGATAAATATACTACTATATTTCCTGTCTTCTCTTCCAGAATACGAGATGGAGCGCTCTTTCTTCTTGAGGATGAAATGCGTGCTGGCGAAGAGAAACGCCGGCCTCACCAGCGGTGGATATAAGGTAGACGATTAATATATGGAAGTAGGCCTATACATTGTTGTCTGGAAAATGATATTGATGTTGCATAAAAATGCTATTGTTTTAATAGAAAATTGACGCCAAATTGATTTGCGCGTTATTACGCATAACGCTAGGCCTACGCATAGGTTATGGAAATGTTGAAATATTTACAGTATTAAAGCATGCAATTAAAAAGACAGCGCAAAAAAATTATACAAAAATGTTATGAGTAGCAAGGGTTGTCTAATTTCCCTCTCAACCACACCAGGTGATTCACTGCAGCGGTTACCTGAAGATCCGTCAGTACAGCCTGGACATGTCGCCTTTCGACGGCTGCTACCAGAACGTGGGCCTTGTGGCGGTGGGACACTCTTTGCCTCCCAGCGCTGTGACGGAGATTAAGCTGCACAGCAACATGTTCATGTTCAGAGCCAGCCTCGACATGAAACTGATCTTCCTTGACTCGAGGTAGGCCTACAGCAAAACATACAAATACAGCATGGGTTGAAGCCTATGATAGATATGAAGGAGAATAGTTGAATAACATAGGCCTACATCGGGTGTTTTGATGAGCCAGCCATGGCATAAACAGGCTGAAGTTTTTTTGTCTTTTTTACCGCTAGTGCTCTGACAGATGTTAAATGAGTATTAAGTCCACAACTTAATGGTATAAAAACAGTATCAAATTCACTAACATGAAATGCCACAATATATTGCATTATGATTTGTGTTATAATGTCTTATTGAATCTAAAAACTGAAATGTTTTATTGTCTTAAAATGGAGCGCTGGACCTCAAGCAACTGGGGTCCACTTTAGAGAATGTTCTGTTCCTTAGCATGAAAACAAGTTTGGATCAAATAGAATGCTAAGCATATATTGATACATGGCGGGAGAACAGTGCATATATTGATATGTGGAGGGAGACCAGTGCATATATTGATATATGGAGGGAGAACAGTGCATATCTTGATGTGTGGAAGGAGAACAGTGTGAACTTCAATACATGGAGGGAGAACAGTGCATATATTGATATGTAGAAGGAGAACAGTGTGAACTTCAATACATGACAGTCTCAGGAAAAATAAAGCAATGTTATGGCACTGACTTCTGCCATGACTAAAAGAGAGAGAGTTTTTTTTTTGCTGAGTCACTTTGCCCTCCCTCCCTCCCTCCCTCCCTCCCTCCCTCCCTCCCTAGGGTGGCAGAGCTGACAGGTTACGAGCCCCAGGACCTCATTGAGAAGACCCTGTACCACCACGTCCATAGCTGTGACACCTTCCACCTACGCTGTGCTCACCACTTGTGTAAGTTAGTTACAGTAGGTTTGGCCCTGCCTCGTCAGACTCTACCTTTGACCTTATTGTACTTTAGGCTACTTTACAGTACTTTAGGCTACTTTACTGTACTTTAGGCTACTTTACTGTACTTTAGGCTACTTTACTGTACTTTAGGCTACCTCACTGTACTTTAGGCTACTTTACTGTACTTTAGGCTACTTTACTGTACTTTAGGCTACTTTACTGTACTTTAGTAGTCAAATAAATTTCTGAAATACATACATTTTATCACAAAGATTTCAATGAGGGAACAAAGGATAAAACAAAAAAATACACAAGATAGTAAATGTGATAAAACACAGAATGTCTTGGCACCAGACATTGAACTCTACACACACAAACAAACACCAAGTGCCTCAGACCAGAATAGCCGACGTCTTCTGTAAATGTTCAGATGGTTCTTCATGTTGAATCAGCTAAAACAGCCACCGCTCGTTGGCACACAGCAGGTGGTCCCTATAACCCACCGCCACAACAGCAATCAATGGAACGCCCCATACCGCGTTCTGCCTACCATCGTGATTGTGTGTGTGCTGCTTTAGAATAACCCATTATAGGTCAAAACAATCCAAACTAAGATGTCTCCTCTCCTCTCCTCTCCTCTCCTCTCCTCTCCTCTCCTCTCCTCTCCTCTCCTCTCCTCTCCTCTCCTCTCCTCTCCTCTCCTCTCCTCTCCTCTCCTCTCCTCTCCTCTCCTCTCCTCTCCTCTCCTCTCCTCTCCTCTCCTCTCCACTCCTCTCCTCTCCTCTCCACTCCACTCCACTCCACTCCACTCCACTCCACTCCTTTGATCCTGACAGTGCTGGTGAAGGGCCAGGTGACCACTAAGTACTACCGTTTCCTAGCCAAACAGGGGGGCTGGGTGTGGGTGCAGAGCTACGCCACCATCGTCCACAACAGCCGCTCCTCCAGACCCCACTGCATCGTCAGCGTCAACTACGTCCTTACGTGAGAATCATTCAATTCAATTGAATTCAAGCTAGTCTCTTTCTGAACCGCATCATGATCTGAAGCTGGGGAAAACCACCACCCAAGAACTACATTTTTTAAAAGCGACTTTGAGATTCTGAACTTAATGAAAGGTGCTATATAAAATACATCTATTACTATTATTATTATGAGGATGATGATGATGATGATGAATTATAATTATAATTATTAATTCAATTCAATTTGACTATTACTATGACGACGATGATGATGATGATGATGATTAATTCAATTCAATTCAATTTGACTATTACTATTATGATGATGATGATGATGATTAATAATAATAATTAATTCAATTCAATTTTACTATATTAATCCCCTAGAGGCAATTAGGATGGCATTGTCCGAGCAGAAGCAACAAACAATGACATACATAAACATAAAACAACTCTACATACAAAACATGACCTTCTCATGGACCATGGTATTAGTGAAATACCAACAAACTTAGTTAATGACCCCAGCTAAACTGGTAGTGGGTAGGGCTGTGTGTACCTCTCACATTCTCCCTTCTGTCCCTTTATGGCCTATCTGTACTGCTACCCCTTACTATACACAGATATCGAAAATGTAATTTCTTTTCAGGTAGATGTGTGTCAAGAGAGCCCAGGTGCGATAAGACCTTTTGAGAACAGTAAGATAAACATTGGGGGTAAAAACCTACTTTCAGAATTGACCTGGTGTCTGAGGAAAGAAAATCTATACCGCAGTGAACTGGAAATCAATAGCCATCTCATAGCTGCTGCCCATGTTGGATTTTCCTTGTTAGGTTTGGTTGATCCAGACATAGCTCTTTAATCTCTGTGTGTGTGTGTGTGTGTGTGTGTGTGTGTGTGTGTGTGTGTGTGTGTGTGTGTGCCTGTGTGCGTACGTGTTTAGTCCGTCTGCCGGTCCACTCTTGTGTATTTACTATTGTGTATTGACCTCAACCTCCAACACACTCACAAACGCGACTCCATATGGAAGCAGGCTTCTCTAGTGTATTCATACTACATGTATAGCTTGTAATCAGAAGTAAACATGTTTTGATTGAATTCTACTCCGTGAGATACAGTACATCCCCAGTAAATACACACTAAGCACTGTTCAAATACTGCTGAATTTGACAATACATACTAAAGAGCAGTTAAGCCCTCCCGTCACCATAACCTAAGCATTTTAATCCGTTAGCTTCCATCATGCCATTAATAAATCAGGATTCGGAGGTGGAGAGCCGCTGGCATATTTTAGATGGGAGGTAGTCTCACTTCGACCGCCAGGTAGAATCCAGCTAACACAGCTGAGTTTGCACCAAAGCCTATAGCAGCACTCGAGCATAAGTCACAGAGTGGAAATATATGATGCAGAACCGGTCACCGCTACTGTACCTGCAAGAGCCAATAACCATATCTGTGTTCCAAATGGCACCCAATTCCCTATATAGTGAACTACTTTTGACCAGGGCCCGTAGGGGAACCCATATGGCTCTGGTCAAAAGTAATGCACTATATAGGGAATTGAGTGCCATTTGGAACTATGTCGCACAAAACACTGACTATCCAAATATTGCCTTTCCATTGCAGTGTCACACACATAAAGAACGGGTCATATTTAGAAACATATTATAGTGACTGGTTGACTGAGGTCAGAGACAGGGCACAGGGGTTTAAAATGCCACGGGCTGGTGTTACTTACTGCTGATGCGGTAAGTTAGGAACAGGGCGGTGTTTGCAGAGTGTTTGACACGTGAACTGTTTCATGGCATTGACGTCTGATAGAGTTCAGGCAAAGGACAGCGGGTTATAATGATAAAGGTGGCGGATATATTATCTTATATGTACATACAGCTGACAAAATGAATAGTCAATGTTGGGAGAAATGTATTCAATCTAGGGGGCGGTGTGTGTTTGTGTGTGTGTTTGTGTGTGTGGTGTGCGTGTGGGTACACTTTCACTTCACTTTGACATTATGGGAACGGTCGTAATTCATGTGTGCGAGTTTGTGTGTTCTGCCAATGTTTGTGCCGTAGCAATGAATCATTAACTTTGCTTAGGGTGTCTGTTGTGTTTTTCATAGTGAAAAAAGGGAGGGCTAATCTCCCAACCTAGTTTATTTTATATAACCTTTTCATTTCTAACTGTCATCCCATTAATGCATTAATCAATACTCAAAAGAAGGTGTTGGTGAATTATGTCTCACTCACTATCAAAAGTAAATATTGGCAGACAGCGGTGTTCACATTGGAGTAATTACTTATAATAGGTCATATGATATATTGCCATAACTTCTGTGAAATTAGATGTTTTAAATGTGCTCACTACACGTCAAGTCATACCTCTCAGTGAAACCTTGAGGAAGGTCTATTGACTGAAACATTGGTTGAAAGATCCATTAAATAGTTTGTGGAGCGTTCAGGATTACTAGTGTGCTGGAGTTTCTTCTTTCTTCAAATGTGCTCACTACAAAATGGCGGTCTCTTCTGTGTGTCTGTGTGTGTAGAGATACTGAATATAAGGGAATGCAGCTCTCCTTGGACCAGATGACCCCTAGCAAGCCAGCGTTCTCCTACACCAGCCCTCCGATCACTACAGAGGAGAGGAATGGGACCAAGTCCTGTATGATACACACCAAGGCCAAAGTCAGAGTGTCCCCCTATCCACAGCAGGTAAGACACTTGGTATCTCGGTGGTGTACTTGTTCTCTAGCACAGTAATAAGAAGGGCATATGTCTGTTTCTCTCTCCCTTAGCTCTCTTAGTCACACATTTTACATGAACATCACAGCCTCCTTGTGTTGTATTGTATTGTAATCAATATGATGTGTCTTTGAGCCAAACGTCACAGAATATTGAGTTGGCATAAAACAATATTTTACTACTTTAATATATAGTTTAAACTTTGTATATTCCAAGTTCTAGTTTTCCGAACATTTTCTCTCTTCCTCTAGTTTTCAGCCTTTCACCCAGAGCATTCCGAGTCCGACCAGGACAGCCAATGGGGAGGTAGCCCCCTGACAGACTCCGCCTCCCCTCAGCTGCTGGACCAAGGGGAGGGAGCGGAGGGCGGTGCCTGCGCCTACAGACTCTACCCCGACTCCGGCTCCCTGTGCTACGGCCTGGCCCTCTCAGAGGAGGACCTCACGCACACCCACACCCCCACCCACCCTCACGCCCCCGCCTGCGACCGTGGTGCCAGCTGCCAGGCTGGTCGCTACTTCCTGGGCGCTGCTCCCCAGTCTGGACGGGAGGCCTGGTGGGATGCCACGCGCTCTGTCCTCTCCCTGCCCAAGTCATCTCTGGAGAACGGCGAGGGCTACGACCTCACTTCCTATCACAGCCTGGTCCAAGGTAAGGCGCTAGGGTCATGGCCGCCACCATCTGGAAATATGGGTTGCGTCCCAAATGGCACCCTATTCCCTACGTGGTGCACTATAGGCCCCATAGGGCCTTGGTCAAAAGTAGTGCACTATATAGGGAATAGGGTGCCATTTTGGACGTAGTCATACAAATCTCACTTTTCCCTGGTAGCTTGTTTACGAAATGGACCGTGGACATTATGGTCCATGCGACGTTGTTTACACCGTGTCCTGCCAGTATGCCGATTGTTACCAGCTGTTGTGCAATAATTGCCCACTGTTGAATCCAAGTTATTTCACATTTCATGTCCTCAAACAATGGTGCTGCTGCCAAGGAATGCACTGTCTATTAGGGATTTACAAGACATGATCAGTTCTATGCAGATTATCAAATATAATTTCATGTAGATGGATAAATACATCTGTCTGTATATTACAAAATGCCATACTTCACTCCAGTCATAGTTCAAGTTTGTATTAATAGCCACATGGCAGTCATAGGCAATGACATACATGGGTATTACATAAATATGCAATAAAATCATGAACTGTGAAAATCATAACAATATTTACACTTGGGTTTGGGATGGCTCAAAATAGTTTTTTATTTATTAAGTGGACATAGTATTATTACATCAATGTGGAGATTTGTGGTGCCATTTTGTCTGACAGGAAGGGGCCACTGGGACGAGGAGAGCGTGGTCAGCTCACCGGAAGGGGGCGGTGGCTCCACCTGCGACTCAGGTGAGCGTTACCGCGGCAGCACTGGCGGTGACCATTTCCAGGCGAGCCCTCAGGAGCCCAGCAAGATGGAGACATTGATCCGCGTCACGCAGCAGATGATCAAGGAGGAGGAGAGCCGCCTGCAGCTGCACAAGGGGCCCCTGGATGCCCTGGGCCCTGTGGGGGGCCTCTCCAACAAGAGCCACAGACCCTGCTCCTTCACCCCCTCCTCCCTGCCCCTCCCCCAGACCGCCATGCCCAGCGTGGTGTGTCGTGGCCCGGGAGTCGCCAACGGCATCAACGTCACCCTCACTTCCGAGCGCCTCCATCACCGCAACGATGGCGGAAAGGTTTTGGGTTCCCACGACAACGATGACAAGAACACGGCCAGCCCGGCCTCTCTGTCTCGCCTCAGCAGCCCCAGCTCCGACGGGATCCCCAGGTCGGGCCTGTCTGTCTCCAAAGACTACCTGCAGAGTCAGACAGACATCTCGCCCCACCACAACCCTCCAGGGCAGCAGGGGAGCCCTCAGCTCTACCCTGCCCAGGAGAGGCAGCCCCTGGACAGGCACGCAGCCTACACCCTGACCGGCTACTCCCTGGACCACCTGTACGACGCGGAGAGCTTGAGGAGCTACTCTGGGCTGGGAGGAGCCCAGTACGGCATGCTGCCCCACATGAGGATGCAGGCCGACCAGATACAAGGACACAAGGGCACATCGGTGATCATCACCAATGGGAGCTGACCGTACATGACTGACATAAAGACAGACCAATAGTGTCTCATTGAAGGAGTATATGTGGGACTTACGAACTTACTCCTCATAAAATAGGGTCTGATCCGATTTTAGCGCCTGACATAGGGGTTAGGATATTCCCTATAACACAGGTCTTCTCTGTCACACTTTACTGAGCCCAAGAGAGCCCAGAACAGCAAGCAAAATGGTTGCAATGATGTTATCTTTTGTTATGCCTTAGTCAGGTTGTATACTGATTATAAAAGAACATTGTTTCAATGTCTTTTTACCAACCAGAAAAATACATCTTTAACTGGTTGTAATCTGGTTACCTGATGAAATAGCATACAAATTATGACATCTTTCCCATATGTCTTGATGTTATCATAAATAAACAGTTTTAACTGTAATCTGACATCTCTACAACAACAACAAAAAACTGTTCACAACCAGAAACTGACGTCATTATGACGTTCCATGCCAAATTTTGCCCTCTGGGCAATTTCATTCCCCCCCCCCCCCCCCCCCCCCCCCCTGCATTGAACTGAGATGCTGTGGAAAGGCTTTTCAAGTTTTCAGTGAGTTTCCAGCTTGGTTAAAGATAAACCCAATGTTTTTGTCCCAACATAGTGTCACGCACCAGTAACTAGGCCTACCGAAAGGAACTTTTCCCAAGGTAGTAGACAATGTGCAATTCCATTGTATACACCCCATGACCTCAAACCTGATAAAGCATTGAGTAACTTCATCACAAAAACTTAAATGGGGGGGAAAGTCGTTCTTTATAAAAATGCTAATGTTTTTCTATATTTAATTGTCAACATGTTGATTTTATTTTATTTTATTAAATGTCATGTTTACGGTCAAAGTAGAACATTTGGTGGCAGGGTTACTTTAGTTTCAATGTTGGCATTATCTTTGCATCCCATTTGCCAAATTTCCCCTGTTAGTAGAAGTCTTAAGGCATGACAACAACGTTTATCACTTTAAACTTCTGGTTCTTCATCATGTGTTTGAATTGAAAAATAATATTGTTATGTTCAGTTTTCTTACCCCAAAAAATATGTAAAGTATCTCTTGTCTAACTTTATTTATGATGTAAATATGTTCAGAAATGGCTTTCTTTTTTGGACAACAGGTCATAAGTGTATTTATTAACTGGGGATAAAAAATATTTTGATTCTAAATACAGGTGCAATCAAACCCTCTTTGCTGTCTTGGTTTTATTCTGGTCTTTAATGTGTTGGGGGACTCGGTTTGATCAAACTGGAGTGGATACAAGCCGAAAAAGAACACTTTGAGAGTTCTTCTGCTCTAAAAGCAGATTTGACAGTTGACGTCATGTAACGCCATCACAGCAACACAGCCGTTGTGACTCACTTCAACTTTTAAATGTTATTGCCTTTTCCTCTCGCATAAGACAGTGCCAGCAGTATAAGTACTTTCATATTTAAACACTTTGACCTTACCTTAGCAGTAATAGGCCTGCCATGTTTTCTAATGTAGTTAAGTTATTCAGATGTATTCGTCCACCGGCCTGCCTGTCTGGATTGAAAGGCTCCCTGACTCTGTCTGGCCCCTGAGAGCAGAGCTCCCATCACTCCCTGTTGACGTGGGCATGTGATGGACTGCATGTGTCACCAGCCAGCCAGCACTGACGTTCCAGGAGGTAGAGCCATTATGCCGCTCTCTGTTGTCACCTCCAGATGAAAGCATGAGAAAGAGAGTGTGTGTGCGTGCATGTGTGTGTGAACTTACAGAGTAGTAATTTTTCTAATGTATCCAAAGGGGGGTTAGGTCTGCAGTCCACTGGCCCTTTGCCTGATGTGCCCTTGAGGCTTTCACATGAAGAGCAACCAAATACTGGGCCCATCAACCCAGCCACACCCCCAACAGCCGCCCCCTCCACCACACTTCCTTGACATATTCAAACAGCCTATCAAATCCATCTGAGCCAAATGACTCCTGGAATCCTGGCACTTACACAAAGGGCAAAACTGGTTGCAATGACGTCAGGATGATGACTTTTCTGAGGTTATGGTCAGTTTGTATACTGATTGTAAAAGGACGTTTCTTTAGTATTTTTTGTAACTAGAAAAAGTCGTCTTTATCTGGTTATAATTGGTTATCTGTTGTCGCAACCAGATAACAACCAGATAACATCCAAAATATGACATTTCTAAGCATCTTGATGTCGTCATGAAATATACAGTGCCTTCTGAAAGTATTCAGAACCCTTGACTTTTTCTACATTTTGTTACGTTACAGCCTTATTCTAAAATGGATTAAATAAAATAAAAAAATCCTCAGCAATCTACACACAATAGCCCATAATGACAAAGGGAAAACAGGTTTTTAAATATTTTTGCAAATTTATTACAAATAAAAAACATAAATACTTTATTTACAGAAGTATTCAGACCCTTTGCTATGAGACTCGAAATTGAGTTCAGGAGCATCCTGTTTCCATTGATCATCGTTGAGATGTTTCTACAACTTGATTGGAGTCCACCTGTGGTAAATTCAATTGATTCGACATGATTTAGAAAGGCACAAACCTGTCCATATATGGTCCCACAGTTGACAGTGCATGTCAGAGCAAAAACCAAGCCATGAGGTCGAAGGAATTGTCCGTAGAGCTCCGAGACAGGATTGTGTTGAGGCACAGATCTGGTGGAAGTGTACCAAAACATTTCTGCAGCATTGAAGGTCCCCAAGAAGACAGTGGCCTCCATCATTCTTAAATGGAAGAAGTTTGCAACCACCAAGACTCTTCCTAGAGCTGGCCGCCCGGCCAAACTGAGCAATCGGGGGAAAAGGGCCTTGGTCAGGGAGGTGACCAAGAATCCGATGGTCACTCTGACAGAGCTCTAGAGTTCCTCTGTGGAGATGGGAGATCCTTCCAGAAGGACAATCATCTCTGCAGCACCTCCACCAATCAGGCCTTCATGGTAGAGTGGCCAGACGGAAGCCACTCCTCAGTAAAAGGCACATGACAATCCGCTTGGAGTTTGTGAAAAGGCACCTAAAGACTCTCAGACCATGAGAAACAAGATTCTCTCGTCTGATGAAACCAAGATTGAACTCTTTGGCCTGAATGCCAAGCGTCACATTTGGAGGAATCCTGGCACCATCTCTACGGGGAAGCATGGTGGTGGCAGCATCATGCTGTGGGGATGCTTTTCAGCGGCAGGGACTGGGAGACTAGTCAGGATCGAGACAAAGATGAACGGAGCAAAGTACAGAGAGATCCTTGATGAAAACCTGCTCCAGAGCGCTCAGGACCTCAGACTGGAGCGAAGGTTCACCTTCCAACAGGACAACAACCCTAAGCACACAGCCAAGACAACGCAGGAGTGGCTTCGGGACAAGTCTCTGAATGTCCTTGAGTGGCCTAGCTAGAGCCCGGACTTGAACCCGATCTAACATCTCTGGAGAGACCTGAAAATAGCTGTGCAGCAACGCTCCCCATCCAACCTGACAGACCTTGACAGGATCTGCAGAGAATAATGTGAGAAACTCCCCAAATACAGATGTGCCAAGCTTGTAGCATCATACCCAAGAAGACTCGAGGCTGTAATCGCTGCCAAAGGTGCTTCAACAGAGTATTGAGTAAAGGGTCTGAATACTTATGTAAATGTGTTATTTCAGTTTTTTATTTTGAATAAATTAGCAAACATTTCTAAAAACCTGTTTTTGCTTTGTCATTATGGGGTATTGTGTGTAGATTGATGAGGGGAAAAAAAAACAATTTAATACATTTTAGAATAAGGCTGTAACGAAACAAAATGTGGAAAAAGTCAAGGGGTCTGAATACTTTCCGAAGGCACTGTATATATATTTAACTGGTTGTATACAGTTATCTAACGTCACTTCAACCAGAAAACCAAATTTCAACAAGAAAATGACATCATGCATGATTGGACCACATGAAACCAGAAGATCCCTTCGTATCCATGGAAACGTGTCTCTTCTCGCATTCTCACACATCTCATTGGAGTACAGATAATAACCACAATCACAACACTGCTAAATAAAATCATTCACAATTCATATCAAACAAAAGCATTGTTGTGAATTAAAACCCTGCAGTGTTTACATCAACTTTTAGTAGCACCAAGAGGGGTACAATTGCATGTTAGCAAGGCGGCTAAGTGTGACATGTTTTCCTATGGGAAATGCCAACAGCTGCTAAATATGTAACTCCAGCTTTGAACCCAGAGACATAACTGCAGAGCAAGCAACATGGTTAATGTGGCCCCCAGCCTTTCTGCCATTAAGTGTTTTATGGAAAACTAAGTTCAAACCACAGCAGAGACACAGTTGACTTCTGCCCTTGAACTGGAGGTTGGGCTCGAGATGAGGAGAAAGGAATAACCACCACAGGGTGAGGGAGTGCACAGCACAGCCCAGACAAACCCAACTGTCCACTTGATTGATTTCAGGTCGGGGATAAAAGCACGATCACATATTCATAGGTCAATTAAAGGGTTGCTCCAGTGTTTTCTCCATAATTCAACCTGGCGTCTGGTAAAGCGGTATGCTTATCACACATCTTTATACAGGGCCGGTTCCTGGCATAAGCAACATAAGCGGTCACTTAGGGCCCCCGGCCACTAGGGGGCTCCAACCCAAAAAACAGAAACATTTATTTTTATTTTATTTTATTTTAGAAACTCAGTCGGGGTCTCAACTTACTATTGAGAGTGTTCCGATAGGGTTGTTCGGCTGTCCCCATAGGATAACCGTTTTTGGTAGCAGGTAAAAGCCTTTTTGATTCAAGGTAGAACCATTTTGGGTTGCATGTAGAACCTTCTGTGGAAAGGGATCTACATGGAACTAACAACAGTTCTTCAAAGAGTTCTCCTATGGGGATAGCCGAAGAACCCTTTTAGGTTCTAGATAGCACCTTTTTTTCTAAGAGTGTACAGTACACCACATGCAATTTCGAAATTTGGTTGTGCATCAGCAGTTTTTCTCTCAAATAGCCATGTCAGCAATAAAAAGTG